GCCTTTTAGAGCCTAACTTCTTTTTGATGGAGGTTCCCGAGGTCAGGTACCACCTCGGGACTGGCAATGGTATTGTTGTCTTCTTAGGACTAACTTCTCTTTGGTGGAGGTCCTCGAGGTCGGGTACCACCTCGGGACTTGCGATGATGTTGTTTTTTCCATATATAGGGTTGTTTATGCTTTTTTGGAGATCCCACCATTCTAAGTAGTTACCCTTCTTTTTCTGCGTTAAGTCTTCCATAACTTCAGTACTAACGTACTTGCACAGATTCCTGCTTTAGTTCTCTAATTTTTCATTAGCCATGACTGTTACATCGGGGTCTGTTCAGTAGAGAGGGGAGAGTTCCGCCTCTGGCATTCAGGACCAATGAGAGTATACCTTGGAGATTACTTCTTTGATAGGAGAAGAGCACCTTGAGTTAGTGAGAAAAGACTGCGGATGGGGGGAGAAAGTAGTGTTACAGACATTTTCCCCGAATGAGGGCATCACGGATCGTGCCGATGGATTTTTGAATGTGTACACGTATCCTTTCACACTGGGCCCCCTTGATAGGGTTGTGCTCGACTTCTATTTAAAGTATCAAGTTACCTTAGTGCAGATCCACCCGTCATTTTGGCGATTAGTGTTGATGATGAGATTTTTCGCAGAGAAGGCGGGGCTTGAACTTATGCTCAGTCATCTTATTAGATTGTACCAGCCCTTTCACCATTGAGGTCTGCTAACCTTGCGATGTCTATCAACTACGCCCTTTGTTATTGATGATGAGGAAGATGAGACCGGGAGTGGATGATTCAATTCGTCCGAGTGCGGACCACTGAAATTATCCCCATAGAGATTATGCGATTCTCTAAGGAATGGAACTATACACGTAAGTGATGCATTCTGTGCCTTCTTAGTTTTGTCTATGGCAAAAAATGGTTTCGTAGTCGTGCCTTGTTTTCTTTTTCTATAGCGGTTTCATGGGCGTCAGACAACGTTCCTGATTTGCCGGATTGGGTTCAGAAGTTGGCGACCCACTCGACCTATTATGAGCGCAAGTGGCGAGCTTTGTCCCGGGACAGATGGGAAACAAAACATCATGGTGCGTGTTGTGCTATTTTTTTCATTTCACTTCCTTCATTTGGAGAGAAATTTTCCCTTTATGCGTATTAATCTTGCTGTTGTAGGCATCAGAGAGCCTTCCGAGGCGAGGTCGCGCTCCTCTAGAGAGGGGGAAGGGTTGCCAGCTTTCGGGCTAAAGAACGACAACAATAAGCGAGAGATGCTTTTTCAGGGCGATGACGCTCAAAGCAAGGCAAAACAGGATCAGGGCTTTGGAGCGGAAGCATCGTCCGAGCCTGTCGCGTCCGTGGTTCCTGGTTTTGGAAAGATGGTTTCCCCGTTGTTGTCGCCTTTTTTTTGTTGACAGTACTTCGAGGGGTACTAGAAACCTGGGGTCGTATACACCGAGCGATCGTGCCTCGAATGGAGTCAACCCTTTCAGAATTGAGGGAACTAGGTTGGTAGATGTTCCCTCAGCCTTCGAGGAAGCCCAGCGACTTCACTTCGTAGTGAGTTTTGGCATAGGCCTTTCGAACTCACGCCTTCTCTTCCTTATTATGTTTTCTTTTGCAGGCCTTTGACAAGCTTAAGTCCGGGCTGCTTCGTCATGAAGCCAGGCTCCTGAAAGCTCTGGATGAGGAGAGATCCCTTAGGCTCATTTGCGATGAAAAGGATGTCGAGTTGGTACACTTGTGGTATGAGGTGAGCTGGAGCTTGAATTATGAGAACTACTTGAAGGAGCAGGTAATATTCTGCTCCGGGTGAGCATGCATTCCGCCTTCTAGCTTCTGAGGATAACACTTCATTTATTTCAGTTGCATAAAAAGAAGGAGGCCCTGGAGCGCCTTCGGAATGAAGCTGGCCGAGCCAGGCGTGAGCATGATGACCCATTATTGCTCGATCTCTCCGACGGCTGGGGGAGCTGTCCCCGGTGCTACTGTGCTAGGAGTTTTCTGGTGACTTTGTAGCTGAGCAATAGCCAGTTGTTGTTCCTGCAACATTTCAAAAATAACATAAAGGCTAACCTCTCGTTCTTCCCTAGTTGGGGTTTTCTGAGCTTCTTGTTGATCTCCTTGGTGCACACTCATGTTGGTGTGCGAGCTTATATCGACCTGTTGGGTGTCGCGCGAGACTGCGTCCACCAGAATTGGTCCTGGTGCGTTCTCGAGGTTTCGTGGTGGCATACCAACACCTGGAGCAGCCATACCGTTTTCTCTGTGGTCCTCAAGATTTTTGTTTTCACCTCCACTCAATGAGTTAGACATTTCGACCTAAAATCGAAGATCTTGGACAAGAGAAAGCGTGAAAGATAACTTGCGTTATGTAGTAAAACCAGCAAGAAAATAATCACTATTATTTTTAGCCTCACGGTGGGCGCCAAACTATTTACTGTGAAAATGGTTATAACAATTAAATTTGATTATGGGACTCTAAAAAGACGTGATCTATTTTTATTCTAGTTGTTAAGCAGTTGATACTATGTATGTGAGACATAGAAACGAAATAAGAGTTAAGGATAAGGTGATAACCAAACCGATAGGTTAATTATCGGGGTCTCGAGGTCGATTCCGAAGCTCGTTTGGGAGCTATCGAAGGTGGTCGAAGTATGGCTAACAGTTATAATAAAATCAACGAAGGCTCTTTATGGCTTATGATAAGCAACAAATGAAGCACAATGACGAAGATAATAAACAGAAGTAACAATATCAAGAGAATATGCTATGGAGCAGAGCAAATGTTCATGTATATTTCGTATGGAGCAACTGAAGCAACCGGGCTTTACAAAATGATAAGGATCCCCCTTATATAGGAGGGGAATTCCAACATAGTACAAAATACATTAATGACAAAGAAGCGGAGATGGGACATCTAGATGACACCCTGATTCAGGGTTAGGGCAGTCCACTAGGCTCTGTCAGTCCTAGCTGTGTACCTTGGGAACTCCCCATTTCTACCATAGTCGTGGCCAACATTGTCTCAAGGTCGGGCGTCGACGAACCTCGAGGGAGGAAACTCGACCATAGCCTTGTAGTCTCGAGGCTTCGAGATAATCTTCTGACGTGCCTCGATGACGGGGAAATGGACCCTCCGATTTCACCGCATACATCGAGAATAATAGGCACAGCACTAAAAGACGTACAAAGCTCTTGGGCTACTTATCTAAAATGAAATTTGACAATCTAATTACCCAACATATTTCTCCCTCGATAGAAAATATTGAAGTGAGACCACTTAATCTAATCTAACCAACCAATAGAATTAAATGAAATGCTAGTACACTTCCTTTGAAGCACAACTTTTGATAATTTTACTAATATTTTGTCTTTGTGATATATATTCAGTTAAACACATTTAGAGTTTAAAAGTGAAATGTATGCTTTGGATCTATCCGTTTGTGAATTCCTACAAAATTAATGAATTAAATATCGCGTGTTATGCTAATTTTTTTAAACTATATTAGACAATATTATGCGCATAATACATTTATAGAAATAGTTTAAATACAATATATTTCTTATATAAAGAGACCAAATACACATCTTCACTACTTTTTGTTTGTGGTTTAAGATTTTGGTACTTAAGAAACCTATTTAACAGAACTAATCAAAAGTTTTTGTAAAAGAAACTAATTAATAACATAAATTAAAAAGAATATTTTACTAAATTACACTTATATGTATATCTTCCGCAAATAAATACGTGCTTTCTTGGAGTATTAAGAGTGGAGTTAAAAAAGTTAATACCTTCTTAATTTTTTAAAATGACAAATAAAAAAAGTGGAGAAAGTACTTAATTGAACCTTATGCGTAACCAAATACTATCACATATGGAACAAGTCAACAACATATAAAAGTATCAATAATGAAGGGACCAAATATTAGCCAGATCGTATTCATTTGTTTGAAATTTAACGACCCTAATTAATTACTCCCTCTTGTGCATATTATTTGGTGGATATTCCTTTGGCACATCATTTAATAAACTACTCACTCCTAAAAATTAAGAAGAACTTTGACTATACTATCCTTAATTAAATTTGCATCTTTCAAAGCTGATAAGTATAAAGAGCGTAGGAATTTGTAATTTTCACGTTGGAAGTATAAAAATCAAGAGTAAATTTGAAAACATAAATTAACGTCTTCTTGATTATGTAAAACACCGCTTATTTTGGATGAAAATGAAGATGTAAAAACACCCAATAATATCGGAAGGGGGGGAATAGTACCTAACAATGTTGGAAAGAGGATGCTTTTAATTAGTTTATATATATATCTTTGTATCTATCCCAAGATAGAAAAATGGAACTATACATGTGGCCAAGGATCCCACTTGTACAATGTCTGATACATAGATTTTTGAATACATCTAGTTGGAATTTACAAATAGGATTTTTGTTTGATAATTCAAATGAGTACGTAGGAAAAACATATTGTTACTACATCTACCGAGCAATCCTCGTGCGCACACGTATGTTTTATGACTCTTTCTCTGTGTGTGTTGTATGTATATAAAACGAGGTATCTTTTCTTATTGTATAGCAATCGTCGTGCGCACACGTACGTTTTAGGACTCTTTCTCGAAAAAGTAGACGTGACCTCTTTTTTGTGTGGGTCCCAGAATTTTGTGGACCCAAATATGTAAGATATGAATCCACAAATATGTGGAATAAAAAAATGTTTCACACAATTAATATAAGTTGTGTGAGACGCAAAATAAAATCACTTATCTTTTTGTGTATTATATCATGGAAGATGGTTGTCATGGCTCTCATGTAAGTAGCCCCAACATGGGTGGAGGTGTTTAATATGTGGGTGGAGGTGTTTGATAGGTAAGTGGAGATTTTGGGCCAAATACTTCTTTTCACGTGTCGCTACATATGCAGGAAAAAAAATGGATAAGATAATAAATTTAAGGAGTTTTATATCTTTAGCATTTTCCATAAAATGGAGCCTTTAAAGTCTATATAAGGAGTTTTATATCTTTGCATCTATCCCAACTTACAAAAATGGAGCTTCCCATCCTTTCCATCTTTCTCTTCTTCATCTCACTGTTATGGTTCATTATCAAGCCATATCTCTCTTCTAAATCCAGAAAGCTACCACCTGGTCCTACTGGTCTCCCAATAATTGGGTCACTGCTAAAGCTAGGTTCAAAACCCAACCAATCATTAGCCGAGCTAGCCACAATCCATGGCCCTCTCATGACTCTAAAACTCGGCTCAGTCACAACCATAGTTGCCTCCTCGGCCGATATAGCCAAAGAAATCCTCCATAAACACGACAAAACATTCTCAGCACGCATTGTTCCCGTTGCTGTTGCTGCCCAGCCGAACCCAGAAGCAACCCTAGCATGGGTCAACGGCGATCATTTGTGGAAGAAAAAGAGAAGATTTCTTAGCACGCAGATGTTCACTAACCAAAGACTCGATTCTCTCCAAGAACTCCGTCACCAAAAGGCTGCACAACTAGTGAGTCACATAAGGCAGCAAAGTCAAAGTGGTGCAGCTGTTGACATAGGACGTGTTGCTTTTGCAACGACGTTGAATTTAATATCGAACACCGTTTTCTCGATTGATATGGTGGACCCTGAATTCAAGACAGCTCATGAATTCAAGGAATTGGTTTGGACAATCATGGAGGATGCTGGGGTACCTAACTTGTCTGATTATTTTCCGGTTTTAAAGCGGTTTGATTTGCAAGGAGTGAAGCGTCGTATAGAGCCAGCGTATTTAAGGTTGCATGAAATATTTAACGAAGTAATTGAGAAGAGACTACAAGCTAGAGCCAAAGGGGTGCTGAAGAATGGTGATTTCTTGGATGTACTACTTGATCAATTTGAAGAAGCTGATGTGACAGGATTTGGCAAAGAGATAAAGCCTCTTATGGTGGTAAGTGCTTCTTCTTTTTTCTTTTTTCCTTTAAAATTTTATTTGAAATTCACCTATATTCAACCGAAATACTTAACAATTTAAGTTATATATAAAATCATTATTTTTTTACAACACTAAGGGTGTGTTCGGTATAACGGAAAATATTTTCCAAGAAAAAAAATTCTTGGAAAACAAATAGTAATCTTATTCATTTTCCAGTGTTTGGTACGCAAATTAAGAAAAATGACTTCTCAAGAGTATTCATAAATAATTTAGATATAATAAACATGAAGCCATAAACTTTTAAACCAACAACCTTCCGAACCCACAAATTTCATAAACTTTCGAACCGCTAAACTTTCAAAACCTCGGAATTTCGAACCCGTAAACTTTATAATTTCTAAACTCGTAAACTTCCAAACATATAAACCTCCGAACTTATAATTTTGGAACTTATAAAATTTTGAACCTTTAAACTGATAAATAAAAAATTAAAACTGAAAAATATATTTAAAAAATATTTTATCCGGGGGAGGGGGCAGGAGGCAGTAAAACAAAAAAAAAACAGAAATTTAAATTATAAAAAAAAGTATTTTTTTTTNAAATATTTTTGTGAAGGAAAATGAGCTGATAAGGAAAATGTTTTCCAAAATATTTAAGTCAACCAAACATGGGAAAATTGGAAAACATTTTCCGGAAAATATTCATACCAAACAAACCCTAAATTAGTTGGATATTTATAAATAAGCCTTAGCTTATTTAAATGTAGAATTTATAATCTTGAAAATAATATACGTTCTCTATTACAATAATATGTAAATTTGGTGTAAAAATTCTATATACTAAGAATGTATAACTTAAACTCAGAAAATATTATTTATTTTTGTATTGACTTTGGGTGCGAGGGGAAAATGTTATCTAACGTCGAATTTGCTATATCTTCTATATATATTGTTTAAATTTATAATCTTAAATTTCCTTTTTACTCTATTTGGTACTCCTTACACTTCAATTTATTTAAATCTATTTTCTTTTATGACAAGCTTTTAGACCACAAATTCTAAAAGACACGTAGTTACACAAATATTATGATATATTTAATATCACAAGTTTGAATTTTTTTGTTTCTTTCTTAAATTCTGACTCTAACAAATAGGTTTACATAAATTGAAATGGAAGGAATAAAATATTTTAAGTCAACGTGGGCATAGTTCATGAAGCTATCACTCTGTTAAAAATGAGAAAACATACTTTAAGGGACCATTTGGTTGGAAACAAGTTATGTAAGGATTATACTGCAAATATTAACTATGCAAGGATTGGAATATAGAAAAAAAAATTATCAGGCGTTTTAAACTTTATATTAGAAAGGGAATATCCAGGAGAGAATTCAAATATGAATTTATTTTTTAAAAATAATACGAAGTAGTATAATTGAAATGGTATTGATGATCGATTTGTGAAAAAGATAAAGAGTAATTCTGTCTTTTGATATTGATTTAATCTAAAAAAAATCTTTTAGTTTTCTAATCAAAACATTCGCATCAAATGAGATGGAATAACTGAATAAGTATACATAATTTTGCTTTTGGTCGAGCAATAGTTAACAAAATAATACCATGAGACATAATTTGCGACAAAAGACGACGAATGACTTTTTTCTTTAAAAAAAATCTTCACAAATATTTAGGCGGACCAGATTATGTTTTTGTCCATTTGTTTTTTGGGGCTTAGTACCTAATTTGTACAGCACATTTTTAATGACGACGCCCTAACTTTACGGGTTCTTAGATAGAGGCCTCAACTTGTAGAAACAAATATTTTAAACACATCAAGTTTTATTAAACAATCTTCTTAATTAAATACAATCTTCTTAATTTGCTTTCTTTGTGTTATTACATTATTGTTATTATCATTTGTTTATTGCTCCTTTTTTTTGTTTTTGAGCCAAAGGTCGGAAACAGCCTCTCTACTCTCGTAAGGTAGGGGTAGGTCTGCGTACAGACTATCCTCCCCAGACCTCGTGGGATTTTACTGGATTTGTTATTATTGTTACTTAATTAAATACAAACCCTTGTGCTAAGCACAATATTTATATATATATATATATATATATATATATATATNTAAACTTCCATACCTTCAAGCAGTTGTAAAAGAAGCCATGAGACTTCACCCAGCAGTTTCATTACTCTTACCACACAAAGCTCAAAATGATATAGAAGTGTTGGGCTACACTGTGCCTAAGAACACTCAAGTTCTCGTGAATGCTTGGGCCATTGGGAGAGACCCAAAGTCCTGGGAAAAGCCACTGGAGTTTATGCCTGAAAGATTCATTAAGTCTAGTGTGGATTACAAAGGTAGGGACTTTGAGTTTATACCGTTTGGCGCAGGCCGAAGAATTTGTCCTGGATTGCCACTTGCTATAAGGATGGTGAATTTGATGTTGGCTTCTATTATTCAACCATTTAGTTGGAAGCTACCTGATGGAATGGCACCAGAGAAATTGAACATGGAGGAACAATTTGGAGTTAGCTTGAGGAAGGCCGTTCCTCTTGTTGCCATTCCTATTATGGAAGAAAACAAGATCATTGTTTAGTCTATACAATTTTATTTGCCACTTGTTTTTTTTTAAAAAAAAAAAAAAAACCTTATGGGCTGTTTCTTTGAGCTATTTGATTGTGAGAACTGAGATGTATTATCATCTCATAGATAAGGTTTGAATGTTAATTGGAGACGAGAAACTTGAAACTAATAACGAACTTCAACATCTTGATCAATATTTTCATGGCTACTCATTAGGTGAGTACCAATTGCCACTTTGATTTGTGTCAGATTGGGGATAATACTGAATGGTAGCATATGCTTAGAAGTTCTATTTTACTTTCACCATATATTCGCTTTTTTTGTTTAAATTTCCACTTCATTTCTTTTTGTGCTCCTTGATTCACAACGACAGGGTTCCACCCAATCCTTAGTGATTTCACCCCGTATTACCTTTACCTTCATGTCCGCTCTACTATTATAATATATTAGGTATCTTCCGAACTAGCATTTCATAAAGTAAAAAACAAAACTTACAAAAAAAAAAATGGTACTCTCTTGCAAAAATGTGACTCATAAAGCTACAGAAGTGATGGCTGTGCTGCCTTGGGCTCAGAGAAACCTGAACTCAATCCCAGCTTAAGGCCCACAATGAGGACATTGTATACATCCCTTTTTTGTGGGCCGAAGACCAAAATATTGTAGAGAAAGTTTTATAAAGCACTATCTTTTAGTAATAATTAGTCATCTGTAGATATCATTTGCTATATTACAGATTATAGATATCTTTTATGTGGTTATAAGATGTATTTGATGTATTTAAGCTATTGTATTCATGAATACAGTAGCAAAAATAGGCGTGAATCAGGAAAGTCCAGCTAATCAGTTATTATATTTGATTGTATTCATGGAGTGAAACATGAGATTACAGCTGGACAGATTATTGTATTCGACTGTATCCATGGCGTGAAATAGGGGATTACACTGTTTTTAAATCGGAAAGTGAATCAATTAACATAATAGACTCCTAATATAACTCAACAAACTCAATTATAACACACAAATTTTGTATTTTTCAGTTATAAAAAAGGCTCAACCGAAAAATACCCCAAAAACATAGCAAGCTTCAGAGAAATTATATAATACATTTGAATACATAAATTATATTAATTAAAAAAACACATATGAATACATTCATGGCATATAGCGAGACAGTGAATACAATGAAATACATAGAATACAACGGGATATATTGAAATACAATGAGAAAAAAAGACACTGAATATAATGAAATACATGGAATACAACGAGATACATTGAATTATAATGAAAAAAGAGATAGTGAATACAATGAAATACATAGAAATACAGCGAGATACAATGCTCTTAAAAAAAAGGCAACAGAATCTTCAAATTGCTCAACCCCAAACTTCAGACGAACTATTTTAGTCGACGATTTTCCGACGACCCATCGGATTCCGACCATGATTCCATAAGCAGTGATGAGAGAAAGAAGAAGAAAACAAGAAAGATCGCTGAAGAAGAAATTGCTAGCATCCGTAACGCATCTGAAGAAGTTAAAGTCCCAGAACTGAATTTGGCTAGCATCCGCCGGTAACGAATCGGAATAAATTGCTAGCACCCACTAAAGAAGAAATTGCCAAGAAGTTAAAGTCCCAAAAAATTACTCGCCATGGAAAGGAAGAAGAAGAAGAAACATACTGGCAGAAGAAAACAATCAAAATCGAAAAGGAAGAAGAAGAAGAAGAAGAAGAAGAAGAAGAAGAAACATACTGGAGTTGGCCGTGGAGATTTCGTTGCCTTCATTAGGGTCAAGCCAGAGAGACAGCGTATTTTATGAGAGAGAGGGCAGCGTATTTTATGGCTTAAGGATAGGAGATGACCATAAATAAGTATTTGGCTATAAAAATCAAAAGGTAGTTATAGAATATAATTTTTTAAAATGATATTTATTTAACATAAATAAGGTATCAACATTTGCTATATGAGGTAACTAATCCAAGGCCCACAAGTGACGGACATTTATGTAAAGATAACTATGAACAGGTTCTATTTCTATCTTCACTGCCATCCAAGGATCATGCTATGATCAAAGAAGGAAAGCCAAGAAGAAATTGAGAAGAAAATTAAACAAAAGATGAAGATGGTGAGCATATGCTAGCATTCAACCTATGGCTATTATTTGATCATAAATTCTGGAAAACTTTACTGTTCTTTGGAATAGTGAAACCGAACATTTCTGTCTCGTCTTGAGATTTTTGTGGTAGGAGTAAGGAAGCTGCTAGATCAAGTCTCATGGTTTCTTTTACAACTGCTTGAAGGTATATGCGTTTTATTGGTCAATGTATGATTCTTGCACTGACATTTCCATGCTTATTTGTTGAATAATTTCTTCTCGTACTTTGTATAAATCTTGAGGTTTTCTGATAAGTGATCTGCCATTGCCCAAAGATTAAGCTATTCTTTTTGCTTATTTTGTATTGCTTGAGGATAAATAATGGAGACAAGGAACGTCAGCAAGATCGATCGTATAAACTATGCAAAGTTGGTGGCTTACTCCACAGCTGACTTTAATGTCAAATCAGCTTTGGGATGAGATTAACATAATATTGTATGCAACGTTAAGAGATCAATATATTATCGGGGTTGCAACGTTAAGATAATCTTTGCTGCGTTCATCGAAAAATTGCTCAAACGTAATAGCACAATATATTATATTAGGGAAAATAGTACTAGTAATTAACTTTTATCCAAGCCTTAATAAGTTCTTAAAATTTTTTAAGCCTAAAATCCAAGTTTCAAAGAGTGATTTTTGTTCCACAAATTAAAGCTTTTTCTGAATCTCTTTCCTTTCAGATTCCGTCTATAAGGTGCTATCTGGGAGCCCATACGAAAGAAAGACAACTACTAGGAAAACACCACCAACAACAACATACCCCAGTATAATCCCACTAGTGGGATATGGAAAGAATAGTGTGTATGCAACCTTACTCCTACCTTGTGCAAGCAGAAAAGCTATTTTCGATAGATCCTCCAATCAAAGCAAGCATACATAATCAATCACAACAAAATAAAGAGAATAACACAATAGTGAAAAAGTCAAAGAAGCAGCAATACCAACAAGAGAATAGAATAACCAGAAGAAAAGCATTCAGGTAGTAATAGAAATCTAGGAATATGGAAATACGTGAATGACACTACTACTCCTTAAATGAGAAAAGATACTCAACTGCCTACTACCCTACTACCTTAATCCTCGACCTCCACCCTTCTATCAGGGATCATGTCCTCGGTAAGCTGAAGATGCGCCATGTCCGACCTAATCACCTCTCCCCAATACTTCTTCGGCCTACCTCTACCTCTCCTCAAACCCATCACAGTCAATCTCTCACACCAAAAAGGATTAAAAGAATACTAGCTAGTAGAATGTATTGGCAATATTTTTCTTATGCAGAATATAGAATGTAATTATTGCCTGAGTTTATGTCAGCTTAAACTAAAAATAAAGGAGAGAACAAGAAAAATATTGTTACATTTCAAAACCACTCAGCCTACTTGCACGGGGCAGGTAGAAGTAGAATCACGGAATCCCCTAATGAAGACACAGAAAAATTGCCAAATACAGGATTGGCGTTTTACCAATCACAATATTCCTTTTGGAAGCCAGAAAAATACACACACTCACAGAGGTACGTCATACACGAATGCCATGGAAATGTACAAGGTATGACGTTTTAATTGTCTGTTTTCAGGATTTGTTAGACTGAAAACACACATGATTAAAAGAAAAAGTACAATGTTATAAAAAATAATAAGTAAAACAGCAAAATGGTAAAAAAAAAAAAAAAAAAAAAAAAAAAGTTACAATATAAAATTGTAATACCAGCTAGTAGCATTTTCCATGCTCCATTTTAATAAGATGGAGCTGGTTTTAGTAAGCCTATATAAGGAGTAATATATCTTTGCATCTGTCCTCAAGATACAAAATTGGAACTTCATAATATCCTTCTCTTCTGCGTCCCTCAAACCTTATATCCATTCTAAATCCAGAAATCTACCACCTGGTCCCCCTGGTCTCCCCATAATCGGTTCACTACTAGAGCTAGGCTCAAGACCCAACCAATCACTAGCCGAGCTTGCCAAAATCCATGGCCCTCTCATGACTCTAAAACTTGGTTCAGTCACTACCATAGTAGCCTCCTCCCCTGAAACAGCGAAAGAGATCCTCCATAAACACGACGAAACTTTCTCAGCACGCACTGTTCCCGTTGCTGTCGCCGCCCAGCCTAACCTAGAAGCGACAGTGGCATGGATCAATGGTGATCACTTATGGAAGAAAAAGAGAAGATCCTTAGCACACATATGTTCACTAACCACAGACTCGATTCTTTCCAAGAACTTCGTCACCAAAAGGCTGCAAAACTAGTGAATCATATAAGGAAAGAGCGTCAAACTGGTACAGCTGTTGACATCGGACGTGTTGCTTTTGCGGCAACATTGAATTCAATATCGAACACCATTTTGGCACAACGATCAAGCCTCCTATGGTGGTAATGCTTCTTCTTTTTTCTTTTTTCCTTTTTACATTTAAATTTTGAGTTCCACCTTATACTTGAGTGAAAAGGAACTGTTTGCTCCACGGTGGACTCTTGATCTTCAGGCCATTAGGCGTTCCTCTTCTCTCTGTAAAGGCCACGCTTGATCTGTGACCCCAGTTCACGCCATGGTTTCGTAATTCCTTTCTTGATCTCTTTCTTGGTCTCTTGTGAAAGCATGGCTACAGATGGACAACCCTGTCTACGTTTGAGACCATAGTATCAATGACTTATTCCAACTTCAACTTAGTCAACTTTTCTTAAGTTGGGCACTTGGCCACTTAGCGTGGAGACTTTCAACTTGTGCTATAATTATACCCAAGTATCTTAATGCCCCTGTTATCCTTATGTGATCCCACATGTACTTCAAGGCTATGTAAATCAACCCTTTAGGCTTGTTTAAAATAGAAAAAAAAAAAATTCTAGGCTTTACAAGCTCGTCCATGACGACGAGTGACTTTCTTAAAATCTCCACAAATATTTAGGTGGTCACTTTTCAGCCATGTAATTGAAAAATAGCTATTGTCATTGAGTTTCAATTTCACCTGAAATTTGAAAGTCTAATTTTTTAATTACAGAGCTGAAAAGTGACTACTTGTGAAGTTTATCCATTTGCACTTGAACAGTTTTTATGACAATCCCTAACTCAACGGGTTGTCAACCAGAGAGCTCAACTTGTAGAAACAAATATTTTCAATGTACCAAGTTTTTTTTATTGATTTAATCTTCTTAATTAAATATAAGAAGTTAGTAATATATATTATGCACCTTGTACTAAACAGAACATATATTAAGCTAATAGGTTCTTGCATGTGTGTGACACGACATCGGATGGCAGGAATTATTAATGGCTGGAAGTGACACATCTGCTATAACCATGGAATGGGTAATGGCAGAACTCCTTCGAAATCCTCATGAGTTACAGAAGGTAAGAGAAGAAATTCTTCAACAAATAGGCATAGAAAGGCCAGTAAAAGAATCAGACATTGAGAAACTTCCATACCTCCAAGCAGTTGTAAAAGAAACCATGAGACTTCACCCAACAGTTTCATTACTCTTACCACATAAAGCTCAAAATGACATAGATGTATTGGGCTACACTGTGCCCAAGAACACTCAAGTTCTCGTGAATGCTTGGGCCATTGGAAGAGACCCAAAGTCATGGGAAAAGCCACTGGAGTTTATGCCTGAAAGATTCATCAAATCAAGTGTGGATTACAAAGGTAGGAACTTTGAATTTATACCATTTGGTGCTGGCAGGAGAATTTGTCCCGGAATGTCACTTGCTATAAGGATGGTGAATTTGATGTTGGCTTCTATTATTCAACCACTTAATAATTGTTCAGTAGCAAGACTGTAAAGTGGAAGATATAATAAGCAGAGTTATTGTTCAGTATGGAAGAAACGAGTTCGCCCTAACAGCAAAATTCACCTGTTTGCAGAAAAAAGCAACATTAAGTACTAGTATTGACGAACTTGCCCTCCATTATCCAACTATAGCTCAGCAGGAATCTGGTGAGTGAAGCAAAGTTGAGACTTATGCTAGTTTCTTTAGATTCATTTAGGCTTTACATTCACCATCTTAAGATACTATAGAAGCATCTCATATACGTCTGTTTATTATTCTACAGTTCTTCTATCTTCCGAAATTTATTCGAATAAAAGGGCAGCCCGGTGCACAAAGCATCCCGTATTCATGCAGGGTCACGGAAAGGGACACACCTTAAGGGTGTGATGTAGACAGTCTACCCTAATGCAAGCATTAGCGGTTGTTTCCACGGCTCGAACCTGTGACCTATAGCTCACGCGGAGACAACTTTACCGTTGCTCCAAAGCTCACCTTCAATACCTTAAAATTTTGTAGCTTACCGTAGAGGAAGATAATAACTAAAATTATATTCTTTAAGCAACTTATAACCCAGAGAACTGCATAAATTGGGAATATGTTCTAAATTGTTGTTACTTGTATTTAAGTCCTTGCCTATTGTACCCTTCAGAAATCTCTTCTTCTCTATTCGCAGTACTGTATTGATGAAAGAACTTAATTAGTAGTCATCATTGTACCATCACCTAGGCATAGAGCAGAAACATCAAGTATCAAATTGTTCAGACAAAGAGTTAGTTCTTCATTTAGAATTTTTTTGTACAACTGCTCATCATATTTCTATTTGGTACATTTCATTAGCGACGTTTAATGGTTCTGACTTCTGAGTTGTTTGTTAATAGACTAAGCACCAATCTTTATCACGCAATGCAATAACAGCCCCTAAGATACTCCATTTTTATGCGCACTATCTAACATCGCCAACTCTCGCCACCGCACCTCAGCCCAAGATACCTCCAAAAAACAAAGAAGCCATTGACGTAGACAGAACAACACCAACCAATACCAGTTGTACTACACAAATAAACTCAAAATTCAGTCACTACGTATATTATACAGCAGATTAAGGAATAACATGTCAGAGGCATTTAGGCTTGGGATAAAATAGAATTAATTGTCAGATAAAAAGAAGTAACTTGTAAATTTTTAAGATAATTCATGGTTCTATCATATGAAAGAATTTTTTTTCCAGTTCCGACGGGGAAAAGTGGCTTCCACCTAGAAAGCAAGTAGTTGCTTACTGTGTTTCACTGTTCACAAGCAGCCAAGAAATATTGCAGAAGTGAAATCGACTTACCCTAACCAAGACTTGCGCAAATTCTGCGAAATCATTTGTAAAGTTGTTGAAATCATCATTCTCGCTAACTGTATAAACCACTGAAAAAGGATTTGAATTTGAGATGTGAGCACATACAGTCATATATGGAGTCACAATTTCAAATTAGGGCATTTGGGTCGATAACACATGGGTCATAATTTGTGATTTGAGCGGAGAGAAAATGGAGTGGGGGAAATTTCTGGAGAGATATGAGCAAAGAGAAGAACCCATAATACAACTTTGGAGTCAAATTTTTTAAGTTGCTACGCGCTCCGGTCCAAAAGGAAATTCACGAGCAATCAAATTGATCATATTAATCTTTATTATCTTACATAAATACTCCTAATACATACTCCAACACTATTTACTCCAATGACAATATAGGAAAAATATAATTAATTCATTCTTGAAATCTGAAAAAATTATTTATTTTGGACCACAAAAAAAGGCCAAAAAATCACTTATTTTGGACCGGAGAGAGTATAAAAGTAAAACTTTGGAGTCAAACTTTGTTCTTAGCGGGAATGGCAAATTCAGTCTGCACCTAAGAGGCGACCTAATAAAAGTGTCATTAAAAATTTATCTTCTATAGCTACTGCTCAGGTCTCCAAAAAAATAAATTGTTATAATTAAATTAAGTCGCCACTGTTGTGAAATATAACTCAAAGTAATAATATGGAATAAGGAAATAAAAGCAATTTAGTAAAACATGAACAAGAAATGAGGATAGAGAGAAGGAAGAGATTTTCTTCTTCAATTGGGTGTATTTTCCTATCTATTACAAGGCCTTTGTATAGGCATGAAAAGTGAAGAAAATATGTCATTGAATATGTCATTAAGCATTTGATATGAAGATCATGGAGGAAGAGTAGACATCCACCATAATATGATATTTATCATAACACTCCCCCTTGGATGTCCATAAATAATGTGTCTCGTTAAAACCTTATTAGGAAAAAAAACCTATGGGAAAAAAAATCATAATGAAGGAAAAAAAGTACACATATTTAGAAATACACATTTTGGTTTCCTCGTTAAAAACCTTGCAAGGAAAACCCGGTGGAACAAAACCTTGTAAGGGAAAAAGAGTACACCGCGTATTAACTCCCCATGATGAGAGCATCAATTTACATCCTTCAGCCTTCGCATCCCAATCTTGTACACCAGTTTCTTGAAGGTTGATGTCAGTAGAGATTTGGTGAACAAATCAACCATATTATCACTTGAACAAATCTGTTGCACATTGATATCACCATTCTTTTGAAGATCATGTGTGAAAAATAACTTTGGTGAAATGTGCTTTGTCTTATCTCCTTTTATGAATCATCTCTTCAATTGGATTGTGCATGCTGCATTATCTTCATACATAATTATGGGTAGTTTGTCACACTTCAAACCACATTTGTCTCGGATAAGATATATTATAGACCTCAACCAAATACATTCTCGACTTGCTTTATGAATAGCAATTATCTCAGCATGATTAGAAGAAGTAGCCACGATTGATTGCTTAGTCGATCACCAAGATATGACAGTGCCTCCACATGTAAACACATAACATGTTTGAGATCAAGCCTTGTTTGTGTCAGATAAATACTCTACATCGGCATAACCAACAAGATCGGGATTGATCATTGCCATAAAATAAGCCCACATTGGTAGTCCCTTTTAGATAACACAATATGTGTTTGATTTCACTCCAATGTCTCCTTGTAGGAGCAGAGCTATATCTTGCTAAGACATTAACTAAAAACGTTATGTCACGCCTTGTAGTGTTAGCAAGATACATTAGTGCATCAATCGCACTAAGATATGGTACTTTAGGACCAACAAGTTCTTCATTATTTTCATGAGGTCGGAATGGATCTTTATTTATATCGAGTGATCTCACAACCATCGGGATACTAAATGGATGTGCTTTATCCATATAAAATCGCTTTAAAATCTTTTTAGTGTGTGCTGATTCATTGATAAAAATTTCATCTTTGATATACTCAATTTGTAGACCAAGACAAAAAGCCTTTCCAAGATCTTTCATATCAAATTCTTTCTTTAAACAGTCTACTGCTTTAGGAAGCTGCCTGGGAGTTGTAATGATATTTGAATCATCAACATACACAGAGATTATAACAAATTCAAATCCACATCTTTTTATAAAGATACAAGGACAAATTGAATCATTCTTGTACCCTTCTTTCAATAGGTACTCACATAGGCAATTATACCACATTCGCCATGATTGTTTCAATCCGTATAAGGATTTTTGAGGCTTGAAAGAAGCCAGACAATCCGATCGGAAGATAAAGAAGATAGATGAGAAGACATTAATATGCTTCAGAACAATTTTAATCCTTCAATGATTTCCATTATACGCATATCAAGTTTTCATGTATTGCCAGATTAAAACCTGAAATGATTATATCCACCATAAGAGAACATGTCTCCATATAATCAATGTGAGGATATTTACTAATTTTCTTGTGTCACAAGTCGTCTTTATGTCTATCGACTTGAACTTTTTGAACAAGAACACATTTATACCTCTATTGGCTTTATACTTTCAGGTGTTGGGACTATCCGCCCAACTTCACATTTTTTCAAGTGAATTCAATTTTCATTATGTATTTTTCATTTGGCCAATCATTTATCTGTCCAAATTTTATGACAGATTTGAGCCAAGATCCTCGTCAATATTAATAATATTGAGCACTACATAATGTTAATAATATCGTCGACGATCACTTTACGTCGGTTCCATTATTACCTAATAAAAACATAACTTATTGAGATCTCTTTATCTCATTATTTTCAGGTACCTGAGCCTCTCCCATGAGATCTTATGAAATGTTATGTCGTGGTGCTCTTCTAGGGCACTTGCCTCCTTATTATGACCATTTTGAATATTTGCCCTCTCCTTTTTCAAGGAGTTTTATCTTTGGAACCGATTGGTCTGTTACGCTTCATGCATTCCATAGACTCTGTCCCTCATGGACTTCATTCTATTTGGAGCATTAGCAGCTGAAATATGACATTTAGCTTTGGGTCAGCAAATGCGTCTGGCAATAATTTGTAAATGAATTATCACTTGAACTTCAAGTTCATATTTTCTTATACGAGGATCTATATATATTCATAATAATTCATTTCACGTATCACTTTCTCCGCTGCCCATTTTCTCCCCCTAATGTTGGGGTCACCAACACATTTCCCAACCTTCTTTGGGAATTCATCTTTGTGCATTTTGGTGGCATAATTAAATCATATAGCACATCCATATTTCTATATAGAAATTATTTGGTTCCTGACCCTGAACCGATTGTGATAGGGAGAAATTTTTATAACTTGGCTAGATGCGTACAAGTGTTGTTGTATATTAAATAATACATCTCATACCAAATTTCGTTTGGGAGTTTTGTTTTCATAACCAACGATTTAGCTATAATTGGAGGCATACAATTTCTGCTAAACCAACTTGGATTTAAACTAGTATTATCAAGATAAATCATCATAATTTATATTCCGGAACTGTGCTGTAATAATTTGAGCAAGCAATCTTGCAAAAGCCAAATTGCAAGTTGATAACAAAATGCACAGGTAACCATAGAATAGATGCATCTACTAAAATCATATAATAGTAAACAGTCCACATGGCATGTGACTGGGCCCATATATTTATCACCTTTTATTCGTTCCAGAGATCAAGGGATTCAATCCCAACCTTAACTGGTATATCATGAGAATAAGCAGCACAAGAAAATTCTTGAAGAATCTTCTATTCTTCAATATATGTCAATGTAATTCTTAATTAATTTTTCGTATCATAATTGAACTGGGATGGTCAACCGGTCATGCCAACTAATATTTATTTTAGTAAACTTCTAGTTTACTTGTGGCATGTGATTCCAGCATCATACTTATATTTGTGTAGTACAAATAGAAAGAAAATCGGGTAATCTTTCTGTGACGACCCGACCAGTTGTCTCATGAGTTACCGCTCCATTTCTCCCATTTCTGGTTCTTTATGCTTCGTTATCCGCGTTTTATGTGATCGAGTCAATCGAATATTGACTTATGTGTTAGAGAGCTCATATGTGAGTTCTGATGGTTCGGTTAGCTTCGGTAGGTAATTTATGACTTAGGAGGTGATCGGAATTGGTTTTGGAGGTCCGGTGTAGAATTAGGCTTGAATTGGCGAAGTTATATTTTGGCGATTTCTGGTTGGTAGGTGAAATTTTGATCTGAGGGTCGAAATGAAATTCCGAGAGTTGTTGTAGCTTCGTTATGTCATTTGTGATGTGTGTGAAAAATTTCAGGTCATTCAGACGTGGTTTGGTTGCGTATTTTGGAAGTTTTTAGAAAACTTAGGCTTGAATTCAATGTGAATTGATGGTTTTGGTGTTGTTTGAGGTATTTTGATGATTGGAACAATTTTGAATGAGGTTTTAGGATGTGTTTGTGCTTTTGGTTTAGGTCCCGAGAGCCTCGGGTGAGTTTCGGGTGGTCAATCGGACCATTTTGAGTTTGAAGAGTGGCAGAAAATCAACTCAGTTGTTGCAGAGATTTTGTCTTTCGCGATCGCGTAGGTTGTGTCGCGATCGCGTAGAAGAAATTTGGAAGGGAAGGATTTAGAACTTCGTGTTCACGTCTGAGGGATCACGTTCTCGGAAGGTTAGAAACTTGTGCTTCGTGTTCGCAGGAGGAGGTCCGCGTTCACATATAAGGATTTGGGGGTCCAGTGGAATTGCTCTTCTCGTTCGCGCTATAGGTCTCGCGTTCGCATAGTTTGGAAAGTGGAAGCATCGCATTCGCAGTGCTCATGTCGCGTTTGCGTAGCGTGTTTTTGGATCTTTGGAATTTTTCTCTTCGCGATCGCGAGGCTTGGGCCGCGATTGCGATGAAGAGAGGTCAAAACTAGGGAGAAAGTGGTTAAATTATTTCATCCGCGATTTTGAGTCATTTTTCCACCATAGTTGATCATTTTGAGAGCTCTTTGAGGTAGATTGAAGAGGGATTCAAGGAGAAGTGATTGGAGGTAAGATTTATGAACCTAAAACGTGATTCTATTGTGAAATTAACCTAGAAATTCATGGAACCTACGCTAAAAATGGAAGAACTAGGGCTTGAGATTTTGAACTTTTAAATTGGGATTTGAATGAACCATTTGAGGTCGGATTTGAGAACTTTTGATATGTATGAACTCGTGGAAGGAACCCGTTGATGTAAAATATTTTGAGTTTCGAGAAGTGGGTC